GATATCACGAGATGCTGAACAGCATTCGTGAGTTCATGAAACTTCACGAGGTTCCGACGCAGCTAAGTGAACGCGTCCTTGACTACGTTGCTTCGACGTGGGCAGTCACGAAAGGAATAGATACGGAGAGGGTAATTATTCCTTGTTATTCCTGCGGTTATTCCTTGTTATTCCCCATTATTCCTGCGGCAAGCAGCAGTCCGTGTTAGGTATACCCGGAAGAAAAGTACAGCTATAATGCCAGGCGTAAATACAAATAAATTCTAACTTAAACGAGTTTAATAACTTTCTTTTTATTCACTTTTGATAATACCGTATGGGGAATTAAATAGTAGTATATGGGTTAATTCGTGCCGAAGGATTTTAAGAGGTTTAAATGGATTTTAGAGGAATTTTAAAGGGGGTTAAAGGGGTTTAAATGGATTTTAAAGGGGGTTAAAATTAACTTTTATTTCTGCTGCGTTTGTCCGCTATCCACTACTACGTACCTCACAACACGCGGCAACGTTTACACGCAATACTGATTCCTGTCTGACGAAAAATAAATCGTGTTAAAACGTTGGACAGTGGTAAGCCGTTTGAATTTTCTTTCCAAGGTGTTGAGTTACTGCCCAAAGGACATGAAAGCCGACGTGTGCGTGCATTTAAATCGAAAGGTGTTCAACGAGTTGCCAGCTTTTCGACTGGCCAGCGACGGTTGCCTGCGTGCTCTTGCTATGCATTACACAACAGCACACAGCGCTCCAGGGGATCTGCTCTACCATACTGGAGAGAGCATAGACGCCTTGTGTTTCGTCGTATCCGGGTCATTAGAGGTCACGCAAGATGACGAAGTGACGGCCATTTTAGGTATGTCACTCGTGTTCGGTGTCAATTTCCCCCAGGCGTAGAAGGAGGCAGCACTAATGTTAGGATTAGGGTTAGGGTCAGGGTTAGGGTTAAAGTTAGGGTCAAGGTTAGGGTTAAGGAAATAAGGCCATGTCTAGCATGGAAGTATGACTGTGCAATGACGGAAGTGTACGAAGTGACTAGTGCTGCGCTAGGGCACTCTCCCTCTACGCCCGGGGGAAAGTGACACCCACTCGTGTTTGTACACCGTATCCGTGTAGCTGCATGGGAAAGGGAAAGGCAAAGGCAAAGGCAAAGGCAAAGGCAAAGGGAAAGGGAAAGGGAAAGGGAAAGGGAAAGGGAAAGGGAAAGGGAAAGGGAAAGGGAATCGCATTACTCAAAGTTCGGTTTACTGTTTTCGTTGTTGTCGTATACCACATCAACGTTGAGAATTTGTTTTTTTTTGGTTCATTCGAGAATTTACTCGCTTTTTGTCTATAGGCCCGTTTGTTGAAGTAGATCTCGCGTTGTTATTTATTTAAAGCAAACAATCTAGGCTGAAACCTTGATACGTCGGTGTGTGGGTGATCATCACAAAGTCAAACACACTACAAAAATATTACTTTGTTTTTAAAACAGGTAATTCGATAATGCTTAAAGTCGGTAATTCTAGAGGATACCGTCATGTACAGAAATGTAGTCGCATGACCACACGTGCTTATGCAGTCGGGTGCACGCCCATGCATAACTGCCTGAAACTGTTGTTCTTGGCAATACAGCGCGTAGATCATGCACTATAGCCTCCTCCATGGTATGATAGAAATAACGGAGAGTAATGTAAATATATTGTGAATATTGGTGGAATATTCTACCGAGGAGGCGTGGCGCAGCGGGATACCTCACATAATCGTGATTTCCATCAAGGAACGTAAATCAAACCCGGAAAACGCGGGCATAGAAGTGTGGGGCGAGAATGCCTAGAAATTCCGATGTTGCTGCATGGCTATGCTGTATGGCGTCGCAGTATGCGAGAGACACTCGCTTGATATATCTGAAGTTACTGCTGAAAGGCCACGTGTGTGTCATGTAGTAATACTAAGAAGGCGCAATAATACCAATATTAGAAACACGTGTATATGTCTTATGTCTGTCTGTCCGTCCGTTAGACTGTCAATTAATTCATAAATCCATCCATTCACCCATCCACCCACCCATCTATCCATCCATCCATCTATCCATCCATCTATCCATCCATCCATCTATTCATCTATTCAATCCATCCATCCATCCATCCATCCATCCATCCATCCATCCATCCATCCATCCATCCATCCACCATTCATGCCATACCCTCATCATCCATCCATATCCATCCATCATCCATCGCATCCATCATCCATCCATCCATCCATCCATCCACCATCCATCCATGCCATCCATTCCATCCATCCATCCATCATCCTCCATCCATGAGCCTCCATCCATCTCCTCCATATCCATCCATCCATCCATCACATCATCCATCATCCATCCATCTGCCATCCATCCATCCATCCATCCATCCATCCATCCATCATCCATCCATCCAATCCATCTCCATCCATCCATCCATCCATCCATCCATCCATCCATTCCATCCACCTCCATCCATCCATCCATGCCATCCATCCATCCATCCATCCATCCATCCATCATCCATCCATCATGCCCATCCATCCATCCACCATCATCGCTCCATCGCATCTCATGCATCCATCCATCCACCATCACACATCCATCCATCCCATCCACCTCCATCCATCCATCCATCCATCCATCCATCCATCCAATCATCATCCAATCCATCCATCCATCCACCATCCATACCATCTCATCCATCCATACATCCATACCATCCATCCATCCCCATCCACATCCGCTCCATCCATCCATCATACGCCATCCAATCCATCCATCCACTCCATCCATCCATACCATCCATCCAATCCATCCATCATCCAATCCATCCATCCATCCATCATCCATCGCATCCATCGCATCCAGTCCATCCATCCATCATGGCCGCGAGCCCGCCTCGCCGCGCCCGCCGTCCGTCCGTTCCGTCCGTCCCGTCCGTCCATCCATCTCCGATCCATCCCATCCTCCATCCATCCATTCATCGCATCCATCCAGCCATCCATCCACGCCACGACCACCCACCGACACCCACCCAATCCATCCATCCATCTCGATCCATCCATCGCATCATACCATTCCATGCCATCCATGCATCCATCCTCCATCCATCCATGCCATCATGCGCATCCATACCGATCCATCCAATGCATCCATTCCATCATCCATCATCCATCCATCCATGCCATTCCATCCATCCATACCATCCATCCAATCCATCCATCCATCCACTCCATCATCAGTTCCATCCATCCAGCATCCATCTCATGCCATCCATCATCCATCCATCCATCCATCCATACCATCCATCCATCGATGCCATCCATCCATTCTATTTATGCCATTACTAATTCCCCAGAGTAACTGTATATATGCGACGTTACCAATGGATTGACTTCAAGTCTTCTTGAACCTGGCCTAAACAATAAGCTAACCACAAAACACGACTGTCCATGGAACTTATCTTTGAAGTAATTCTCTCAAACTGTCTGGCGGCGTGGGTGGTAGTCGGGGAGGTGCGCAAGAGGGGGAGTAGTACGGTGTGGGGGTGGTTCGTCCTCGTGGCTTCCCTTTGCTTCTTCTTGGCGGTGCCATGTCCTTCCTCCCAATTGCCAACGAAATCCCCTTCCGGGTAAGCAATACGTGGAAAGGGAATACGACCTGCATGATAAACGCCTGCATGCTGTTGCGTTTGAGATATAGGTATGGAATAGTGACAGATTAGGAGGTTAAGGATAAAACGCGTTCAGCGGGTGCCAGCGACGTAGCGTGTTGAGTATGTTTATTTCTACCTTTTACAAAAGACAATTCAATGACAGTCTCTGGTGTCTTTTTACTTGTGGGTTACGACTTATTGTGTCTAAGGGCAGTCCTCTAAAGTAACTTGCAATGCTACAAAAAGTCGCAAAACTGATAAAATGCATGTCATAGCTATAAGTACCTGGAGTGATAAGTAATGCCCTGAATTGATTGAGATGGATGGATTGGATGCGAATGTGAATGGATGGGGCATGGGACGGATGGATGGGTAATTGGAAAATGGGGATGGTAATTGGATGAGGACTCGGATTGTGAATGGCGCGATAGAGTGTTGAGAATCGCGTATACGCAGATAGGATTGATACTCGAAGTTTTTAGAAAGGTGCAATTGGCACCTAGGTGTGCGGCACATGATTGGAATTGTGATGTTGACGTGTGCTTTTTAGTGAAGATGGTGTATAATGTGCAAGACTGGGACTTGTTAAATATGGCTCGGCCGAATGCAGTTCAGGTGCGGCTAAATTTGCGAAGTAAGGGCGATATTTGTGTCATAGGCAGTCTTTATATCGGAGAGTTGATTTTTAGCTGCATGTTTCTTAATTGTGCAAATGTGAATTCGGTTAGTATGATTAGGGTGGTGCGAGTGGAGGAGTGAACAGATAATCTCAGACGGGCACGAAAATTATATGTAATTTTTCTTTGGTTTAAGATTTTTTGGTGGTTTAATTACCTTCTAGGTATATTGGATGGGGCTAATTTCTGGGTGGTTTTGGGGTGTGTCGTGGGGTTAGGTGTGAGATGTAGGGTGCGTGCTTGAGAGGGCCTGAAATGGAAGTGGGATGGTATATCAGATCCTATGTGATGGACATGGTATTAGGATACGAGTGGTAGATCGGCACGAGGACTGAAGACTGAGGAGGGTAATCGGTGCTCGGGCGGTTTCTGGTGGGCGTAGGACAGTGAGGATAGTGTATGTAATATTTGGAAGTGGGGATATGGATGAGTTGTTTGGATTGGTGAGCCCTGTATGATAGCACTGATATGGTGAGCAATGGTGGTGATATGGGCGATTCAGATGGAGACATGAGACTGCAGTATGCGTATGGAATGGATTTGTATCCTGTAGGAGTGGTGTATCGAGTATTCGGATAGGAATGGACTTTGGATTGGTATATGGATATTTTGACTCGGATAGATATGGTTAATGAGTGGCCTTGGTTGAAGAATGGCGTTATGGCGGATGAGAAGATATGGATTTAGAATATGGGATGAGAAGTTGGAAGTGAAGTGCTGGATTCAGTGTCGAGAGTATAGGAATCGAGAGTGGTGCTAGGATGGATTTAGAGTGGATGAAAGATGTGAATGGTAGGATTGGATAGGGCATGGGAGATGGGAATGGAATTGCACTGTGATGCGTAAGAGTAGGAAAATGATGAGGATGCGGTGAAGTGGATATGGAGAGATAGGAGATAGACTAGGCGGCTGAATGAATATGCTTTGCCAATGAAAGGGAGCTATATGAGTATGAGATGGATTCGTGAGTGAGGAATAGAAGACCAGTAAGTCAGATGCACTAGGACAGTGATAGGATCGAAATTATTCGTTGAAGAGAGTGGAAATGGAGACTGGTGGATGAGGATATATGAGGATGAGAGAAATGTGAGGCCCTCGTGGCACGGTGTGATCCGAGCGGGATGAGATATGCGCAGTGGACTTGCGTGATGGTATGAATGAATAGAGGACTGGGAGCTTCTCGAATTAGCGAGTGAGCTGGTTGGTGCGTTTGCGGTGAGAGATATGGATTCGGTTGCAATTAATGCGATTTGCTCGAGGGATGGCATTGGTGATGTGCGGAGTCGCGAGTGCGTGGTAGAATCGGCGACATGGATCGAGCACGGGGCGGTAGAGCGCATTGACTGTGATTTTCCGTCGCCAAGCTCTGGAGGGCAGGTCGGGATTGGATGGAAATGATGGGAATCGTGACTCGTACTGTGATCGCGATGGTATGGATGGATTTGCTGGGATGCATCGGATCGTGCATTTGCACTGTATGGCTTTGCTATTTCTCGATGCGATGGTCTACTCGG